AGAATTGTTACTGAGGGCCACAGAATTGTTACTTAGGGCCACAGAATTGTTACTCAGGGACACAGAATTGTTACTGAGGGCCACAGAATTGTTACTTAGGGCCACAGACGTTAGTTAGGGCCACAGAATTGTTACTCAGGGACAGACACAGAATTGTTACTGAGGGACACAGAATTGTTACTGAGGGCCACAGAACCGTTACTTAGGGCCACAGAAATTGTTACTCAGGGACACAGAATTGTTACTGAGGGCCACAGAACGTTACTTAGGGCCACAGAATTGTTACTCAGGGACAGACACAGAATTGTTACTGAGGGAACACAGAATTGTTACTGAGGGCCACAGAACGTTACTTAGGGCCACAGAATTGTTATCAGGGACACAGAATTGTTACTGAGGGACACAGAAACCGTTACTTAGGGCCACAGAATTGTTACTCAGGGACACAGAATTGTTACTCAGGGACACAGAATTGTTACTGAGGGACACAGAATTGTTACTTAGGGCCACAGAATTGTTACTCAGGGACACAGAATTGTTATGAGGGACACAAATTGTTACTTTAGGGCCACAGAATTGTTACTCAGGGACACAGAATTGTTACTGAGGGACACAGAACCGTTACTCTAGGGCCACAGAACCGTTACTCAGGACACACAAATTGTTACTCAGGGACACAGAATTGTTACTGAGGGCCACAGAATTGTTACTGAGGGCCACAGAAACTCAGGGACACAGAATTGTTTGAGGGACTGAGGGCCACAGAACCGTTACTTAGGGACACAGAATTGTTACTCAGGGACAGACACAGAATTGTTACTGAGGGGCCACAGAATTGTTACTGAGGGCCACAGAACCGTTACTTAGGGACACAGAATTGTTACTCAGGGACACAGAATTGTTACTGAGGGCCACAGAATTGTTACTTAGGGCCACAGAATTGTTACTCAGGGACAGACACAGAATTGTTACTCAGAGGGCCACAGAATTGTTACTGAGGGCCACAGAATTGTTACTTAGGGCCACAGAATTGTTACTCAGGGACACAGAATTGTTACTGAGGGCCACAGAACCGTTACTTAGGGCCACAGAATTGTTACTCAGGGACAGACACAGAATTGTTACTGAGGGACACAGAATTGTTACTCAGGGGGACACAGAATTGTTACTCAGGGACACAGAATTGTTTACTGAATTGGGGCCACAGAACAGAATTTGTTACTAGGGGCCACAGAATTGTTACTGAGGGCCACAGAATTGTTACTCAGGGCAGACACAGAATTGTTACTGAGGGACACAGAATTGTTACTGAGGGCCACAGAATTGTTACTTAGGGACAGAACAGAAAGGTTACTTAGTTACTCGTTACAGGAACGTGATATTAGGGACACAGAATTGTTACTGAGGGGACACAGTTACTGTTACTGAGGGACCACAGAATTGTTACTCAGGGCCACAGAATTGTTACTCAGGGCCACAGAATTGTTACTGAGGGACACAGAATTGTTACTGAGGGACACAGAATTGTTACTCAGGACAGACACAGAATTGTTACTCAGGGGACACAGAATTGTTACTCAGGGACAGACATTGTTAAGGGACGTTGAATTAAAGAGTATGTCAGACAACATGCAGAGGAGTGGCAGAGGAGGCAATGTTTTAGGAGCGAGCAGACGTGGCAGCAGAGGAAGGGGTCGAGGCAGCACTAGTCGCAGCCAGAGGCCAGTGCTCCCGGTGTCATCCAGCGGTCGTGTCTCCACCGACAACCCTGCCGTCATCGATTGGTTGGCTCGGTCGTCTTCCTCTTCCCAGGTCACCTCTGACACCTACAGCCAACGGTCGGTGGGTACGTCAGACACAACCGTTAGTTGGCATGGCCGGGAGCAAGCCCACTGAAATCACGTGTCCTCTACCTGCCCCTGTCCTTTGCTGTTCCCTCACCAAGCGAAGTATCGCATGCTGTGGGCTCAGCCCCACTGTACAGTGAGGAAGAGCTAACAGAGGGCGGTCAGGAACGGGGGGAGACATCCGCCTTTTCAGCAGCCAGGCGAAGAAGTACTGGCGAGGAGAGTGGCTCGGTAGCCGGTCTAGAGACAGGTCTGTCTCCTGACCCAGACGCAGCCGAGGGGGCTAGTAGTGAGGCGGAGACCCTAATTGATGATGAGGAGGTTGATCGCACTTGGCAGCCTCGTCGTCATCAGGCAACTTTCTTCCGCATCATCAGGAGAAGAGGGTGCCAGCTTGGCAGCGAGCGAAACAGTCGGTGGGTTGCCCAGGAGGCAGCAGGGTCGCAGCAGTGTCAGTGGAGCCAAACGGCCACGGAGTAGAGCACCAGCTCCACTGCAGCCTACCACCACGGCCAGTAGTGGTGCCGGTGCGCACGGAGGAAGTAGCAGTCAGCCAGTGAGGAGTAGCGGGGGCAAAGTTTCCTACTCGGTGTGTGTGGCAATTTTTCGTCAAGCCGCCCGAGGAAGTAAACGTAGCCGTATGTCGACTATGTGGCCAGAAAGTCAAGCGTGGCCAGGGGGCCCATGTTGGGACTACAGCGTTGCGTCAGCATATGCAGCGTCACCATTCGGTGGCCTGGGAAAACCGTGATAAAGATACGGCGGTTCTGCCTGCCCCAGCCCCCCGCTCCATCACCCGCTCCGTTACTTGCTCCGTCACCCGACGTCGTCAATCGCCCTCTATCAGCCAGTCAAGGCTCCAACACCTCTGCTGAGGGGAGTTGTCGCTCGTTGGCATCTTCCGCTCGTTCAGATGCTCCTTCTCCTGCTACTCCTCTTCTCGGATTCCGTCAGCAGTCTTTCTTGGAATCCGTTTCCAAGAGACAACAGTTTGCGAGCACGCACCGACGGTGCAAAAGCTGAACGTCCTCCTGTCCAAGTTGCTGGTGCTGCAGTCCTCCCTTTCCAAGTGGTGGACTCAGCACCTTTCCGAGAAATGATGGCTTGTGCCGCGCCGCGGTGGAGAGTGCCAAGCCGTCATTTCTTTGCCCAAAAGGCAGTGCCAGCCCTGCATTCACATGTAGAAGAGATGGTGGGCCAGTCTTTGAGCATGTCGGTCTCTGCCAAAGTGCACGGCAGCGCCGACGTGTGGAGCTGTAACTACGGTCAGGGACAGTACATGTCATTTACGGCCCACTGGGTGAACGTGGTGCCGGCACAGCCGCACCAGCAACTTGGACAGGTCACGCCGCTTTTGCCTCCACGTTTGCACGTCCTTGGTCCAGCAAAACATGTCCGCCTCTACCACCTCTTTTTCCGCCGTGTCCTCAGCCGCCACCCCTGTGCCAAGTCCCATTACCCGACCGGCATATCACATGTGCAGGGCGCAACGGTGTCACGCTGTGCTGCACCTGGTATGCCTTGGCGAACGTAGTCACACAGGGGAGGAACTGCTGAGTGTAATGAACAGAGAAATCGACAGATGGCTGTCTCCGCGCAAACTGAAAATCGGAACCATGTTGACCGACAACGGAAAGAACATGGTGTCTGCTCTGCGTCAAGGAAGGTTGTGCCATGCGCCATGCATGGCTCACGTGTTCAATCTGGTTGTCAAGCGGTTCCTAAAATCCACCATCCCACTGCAAGACATCCTTAAAATGTCACGTAAACTTGTGCATGCATTTCAGCCATTCCTACACCGCAAAGAACACCCTCCTTGAGCTGCAGCGGCAGAACGGAATTCCACAGCATCGCCTGATCTGCGACGTTGCAACAAGGTGGAATTCAACCCTACACATGTTAGACCGCCTTTACGAGCAGCGAAAGGCCATCACCGATTTCCTGATGTTACAAGCGGATAAAGGTACTCCCCTGTGTAACTTAGATGTCAGCCATTGGCAGCTCATGCGTGACACCTGCCGCTTGCTCAGGCCCTTTGAGGAGGCCACGCTATTCGTGAGTCGGCAGGACTATGGGATGAACGACGTCATTCCTCTGTTGCACGTCCTGGAACAAATGCTGTTAACAATGGCTGGTCAGGGTGCGGTAGACGTGGCGCACAGATCTCAACGCCACATGACCCCTGTGGGGGCAGGACAGGAAGAAGAGGAGGAGGTAGAGGAGGACATTTGTGCTCAGGAATTATTGAGTGAAATGGGTGGTTTTTCCACTCAGCGGACAGGAGTGGAGGAGCAGGAGCATCTGGTAGAGGAGGAGGAGGAGGAGACAGAGGACCCAGACGCACCGTGGCAGTATGCTGTGGAGATGGAGGCAGGGAGTCCCTCGCATTCCTTGGCACAAATGGCCCATAGCATGCTCGGTTGCTTGCGTAGCGACAGCCGAATAATAACCATCAGACAGAGGGATGACTTTTGGCTGTCCACCTTGTTGGACCCTCGCTACCGGTCCAAAATGGTGGCCTTTTTCACACCTGCTGAGAGGGAGGCCAAAATTACGTACTATAAAAACCACCTATGTAGTCAGTTGGTCTCTGCCTTTGTGCGCCAACGTCCATCCTCAGACACTGTGGGCCCTGTGCGCTCGCGTTCCGCTGGCATGGCAGCAGGGGAGGGGTGGGGTGGTAGGAGCAGTGGCAGCTCCACCAGCAGCGGCTGCCTCAGTCTGCAGTCGATGATGAGTAGCTTTCTTCACCAGCGCAGTGAGGAAACTACTAACCAGCCGCAGCAGCAGCAGCAGCAGCATCAGGTGGACCTGGAGCAGGAGCTCAAACAACAGGCTTGGGCCTACTTGGACAGCACCCTGCCAACCGAGGTAGACAATCCCCTTGACTACTGGGCAACGAAACTTGACCTTTGGCCCCAACTAGCTGAATTTGCCCTTGAAAGGCTGTCATGCCCGGCCAGTAGCGTGGCATCGGAGCGCGTGTTTAGTGCGGCAGGAGAGGTATTGTAACTCCGCGGAGGACACGACTGTCCACCCAAAGTGTGGAGAGACTCACGTTTGTGAAAATGAATCAGGCGTGGATTAGTCTGGATTTCAAACCACCAGTTCCTGACACAACTGACTAAATCCGCCATGAATCATGCCTCAAACATGTGCCACTTTCAGGTCTCCTCACACACTGCTGGTGTGTTGAATTTTTTGACATAGGGTGCTGGCAGATTACGGGCCTCCTATAGCTGCTGCCAGGCCCCTAATCTGCCATGGGCCCCTATATACCGCCTCCTCATGCTGCTGCCAGGTCCCAGAGTCTCTCATGGGTCCCTGTACGGCCTCCCATTGCTGCTGTCTCCATCGCCACACTCTGCCATGTGCCACTTTCAGGTCTCCTCACACACTGCTGTGTGTGTTGAATTTTTTGACATAGGGTGCTGGCAGATTACGGGCCTCCCATAGCTACTGCCAGGCCCCTAATCTGCCATGGGCCCCTATATACCGCCTCCTCATGCTGCTGCCAAGTCCAGAGTCTCTCATGGGTCCCTGTACGGCCTCCCATTGCTGCTGCCAGGAGGCAGCAGGGTCGCAGCAGTGTCAGTGGAGGCAAACGGCCACGGAGTAGAGCACCAGCTCCACTGCAGCCTACCACCACGGCCAGTAGTGGTGCCCGGTGTGCACGGAGGAAGTAGCAGTCAGCCAGTGAGGAGTAGAGGAGGCAAAGTTTCCTACTCTGCGGTGTGGCAATTTTTCGTCAAGCCGCCCGAGGAAGTAACCGTAGCCGTATGTCGACTATGTGGCCAGAAAGTCAAGCAGTGTGGCCAGGGGGCCCATGTTGGGACTACAGCGTTGCGTCAGCATATGCAGCGTCGCCATTCGGTGGCCTGGGAAAACCGTGATAAAGATACGGCGGTTCTGCCTGCCCCAGCCCAGGGTTCCATTTTGTCATAAGGTGCTGGCAGATTACAGGCCTCCCATAGGTGCTGCCAGGCCCCAAATCTGCCATGGGCCCCCGTACCGCCTGGTCACGCTGCTGCTGGGCCCACAGTGTGACCTGGGTCCCTGTACCCTCCCATTGCTCCCACTCTGCCATGTGCCACTTTCAGGTCTCCTCACACTCCTGCTGGTTTCCATTTTGTCATAGGTTGCTGTATGGCCTCCCATTGCTGCTGCCTCCACCGCCACACTGTGGCTCCAAACACTGGTTTTGGCCCCGTGACTGGCCAAATGAGTGAAGTGTGCGGTGATTCTAAGATCGACGGCACTCATCTGCATGTCATACTGAGTGACAGTATTATTTCTCTTCCCCAGCAGACTCAAAGGGCATTTAAATTAAAGGTACAGTGTTCTGCACTAATATTAAGTCTCTCTGAAGCCTAGAAAACACCCTTTTTTAAGTTAAATTCACAGCGAATTTATTCGACTCGAATCGAATATTGTCCACGAATTCGCCGAATCAGTCGAATCGAATTTTTCATTTCTTCGCTCATCTCTAATTGTAACGTGTGAGATCACAGTTTTGAAGCTTGACATTTTTAGTATCTATTTTCTTGACAAAACATCGCCCTATATTGTGTATATAAAATTGGGGAATAAATTGTGTTTGTGTGCCCTCTTGTTCAAGTGTGTTTTTTCTGAAAATATTGATTTGATAAACAGTTGCTCAAATATCATATGACGCCCTCAGAGAACTGGCCGGCCGCAGTGCAGCCGTCATTCGGCTATCTGCGGTCGGCAACTAGTTAATGTACATGGGGCATTTGGAAAACTCTTTTGAACGATAGAAACTGACTGCTGTTAAACGTAGGTTAAAAAATGTCAGTTTAACTGCGTTTGCATACCGTGTTTAGCTGCGTTTATGCACGTTTGCATTTAGAAGTTTTTTTTAAAAGATAACCTCAGGAGACCCACTCAAATGCCCAGAAATGCACTGAAAAATAGTAAACTCACAAAAAAATGCTATTAAAATACTGCATTAGTTATTTTATCAAGTCATGCGGTATTAGTAGTGAAAAGCATGCATCATGTTTCAGCTGTCAGCGGGATTCCCACTGACAGCTGAATGTAAAAGAAAGAATTGGCGGCAATTAAAAAATAATTAAAAAATGGCGTGGGGTCCTTCCTCCCATCCATACCAAGCCATTTTGGTCTGGTATGGATTTTGAGGGGAAGCCCCACTCCAAAATTAAAAAAAATGGCGTGGGTTCCCCCCCAAAATCCATACCAGACCCTTATCCGAGCATGCAGCCTAGCAGGTCTGGAAAAGGAGCATGCTTGGATAAGTGTCTGGTATGGATTTTGGGGGGGAACTCCACGCCATTTTTTTTTTTAATTTTGCCGTGGGGCTTCCCCTCAAAATCCATTCCAGACCCAAAGGGCTTGGTACGGATGGGAGGGGGGACCCCACGCCGTTTTTAAATTTTTTAATTGCTGGCAATTCTTTCTTTTACATTCAGCTGTCAGTGGGATCCCCGCTGACAGCTAAAACATAATGCATGCTTTTCACTCGTAAAATTCCGCATGACTTTATAAAATCATGTGGTATTTTAGTAGCCTTTTTTGTCTATTCAAATAGTTGGGTTTTTTTTTAAATGCTATGCAGTATCCCTACTGCATACTCGGGTGCGGTGGGATACCGCTTAGTGAATTGTGCCCTGGATATGGACCAGTCAAAAAACGCTTCTAAAAGCAAATGCTTATAAACATGGTTTTCACGTGTTTACAAGTGTTTGGCGCTTGAAACACTGGTAAAATCTACTCCTGAACGCAAGTTTGGTGCGTTCAAAAAAGCTACTGTAAACTCAACTGCCTATAAACGATTGTAAACAACTATGTGTACATGGACACATAGGAAAACATTAGGGAGAGTTCAGGGGTTGCTGAAAAAAAAAGCAGACAAGCTCCTGAACGTCAGTTTATCAGCTGAGCATGTGTACATGAGCCCTTAATGTTTTTTTCTCTGTCTCAGCTACTGAAGTAACAATCCAAAACCCATCCAATTTATTTTGCAAATAGCTTCAGTCACTGGGTAGATAGTTATAAAAAAAAATAAAATAGAATCAGAAGTGTTGCCTTTACAATTATTTGGCCTTTATATAAACTACTGCCAAATGTGAGCTATTGAGCTTATAAACAACTCCCCAGTGTACCTGTTGGGTGACTCCATCTTGCCCTTCAAACAGCATAGAGAGGGGAAGCTGGAAGGGGATATCACATTATCGGGAGAAGTGCTTTTTAATTTTCTTAGGCTGTTTTATGGGGAAAAAAGTTCATTTGAAACAGCTGATGGAACAGATTATGATGATGCCACTATTGTACATGCTTTTAGACTAGAAAGGTTTATTTTAATGCTTGTTCTGTGTCAGTGACTCAGAAAATAGTGAAAACCAGATAATGCAGGCAACTAGCTTTCTCAGAAGGAGGTCAGCAGCAGTGGCAGTCTTCATATCCTTCTCAGTGCCTCAGATTTCTCTACAGCACACTGACCGCTTTAATATATCTCTATCTCCAAACACATTAATCATTAAAAAACTATTAGGTGGAATTTTTTATATATATAATTTATATATATATTTATATATATATATATATAATACACACACATGTGCACAGTATATACAGTAGCATGTGAAATATTTATAAAGTATGCAGAATTAAATAGAACTGCTTTGTGTTCTCTTCAGTGGCTTCTACAGAGTTTCAGTGGACATGGTGGGCTTTTTACATTTTAACACCTGGATTAAGTCCAAAGCAAAATTCAGATGAGAAAAGACAGAACATTTTCTGTGATTAATGGAGGTATGGCAAGCTTTTAGCACTGAACTATATAACAACAGGAGCAGCAGGAAGAAATTCACACACAGATGGACATAAATATCGAAGTAGTGTAAGAATGGTCAACTTCATGGAACACTTGCAGTTTATTGATTTTGCAGACAGCTGCTAGAGACAAGGTCTTTTCTAATCATCGGCTCTTGAAGCATGTTTCTATCTTAATGTCATTTCTCCACCTTGAAATTGCCTTTCTTGCACATTTTCCCTACAAGTGTCTGTTAAATATGAACTCCAATAAGAATTTTTATTCTGTATTTTTATTTTCAGTTGAAATGGTGAGGTCCAATGCAATGTAAAAGTCTATCATACCACCTGGATTGCTGTTATTTAACTACACAGACAATTGTAAACTATAAATTATTCACTGCTCAGCAGTCTGCCTGTGAAGAGGGTGATGACTAATCACTGCAAAAACCTTAATACTGCGCATATGTGAATATACAAAAATAACGAATACAAGTGAGAATTGCTTAAGAGCAGCAACAGTACCATGAGTTTATGTGTGTGTAATGTATGTATGTGTGTTGTATATAATATATATATATATTTATATATATACAGTGGGCAGAAAAGTATTTAGTCAGCCACCAATTGTGCAAGTTTCTCGCCCCACTTAAAAAGATGAGAGAGGCCTGTAATTGGCATCATAGGTAGACCTCAACTATGAGAGGCAAAATGAGAAAAAAAATCCAGACAATCACATTGGCTGATTTGGAAAGAAATTAATTTGCAAATTATGGTGAAAAATAGGTATTTGGTCAATATCAAAAGTTCATCTCAATACTTTGTTATATATCCCTTTTTTCCAATGACAGAGGTCAAACGTTTCCTGTAAGTCTTCACAAGGTTGGCACACACTGTTGCTGGTATTTTGGCCCATTCCTCCATGCAGATCTCCTCTAGAGCAGTGATGTTTTGGGCTGTCGCTGGGCAACACGGACTTTCAACTCCCTCCAAAGGTTTTTCTATGGGGTTGAGATCTGGAGACTGGCTAGGCCACTCCAGGACCTTGAAATGCTTCTTACGAAGCCACTCCTTTATTGCCCGGGCGGTATGTTTGGGATCATTGTCATGTTGGAAGACCCAGCCACGTTTCATCTTCAATACCCTTGCTGATGGAAGGAGGTTTGCACTCAAAATCTCACGATACATGCCCCATTCATTCTGTCCTGTACATGGATCAGTCATCCTGGTCCCTTTGTGGAGAAACAGCCCCAAAGCATGATGTTGCCACCCCCCATGGTTCACAGTAGGTATGGTGTTCTTTGGATGCAACTCAGCATTCTCTCTCCTCCAAACACGATGAGTTGTGTTTTTTTTACCAAACAGTTCTAATTTTGGTTTCATCTGACCATCAAATGACATTCTCCCCAATCCTCTTCTGGATCATCCAAATGCTCTCATAGCAAACTTCAGACGGGGCCCGGACATGTAACTGGCTTAAGCAAGGGGGACACGTCTGGCACTGCAGGATCTGATCCATGCGGCGTAGCGTGTTTACTGATTAAGTAGCCTTTGTTACGTTGGTCCCAGCTCTCTGCAGGTCATCTCACTAGGTCCCCCTATGTGGTCCTGGGATTTTGCTCACCGTTCTTGTGATTATTTTGACCCCAATGGGGTGAGATCGTTGGCGTGGAGCCCCAGATTGAGGTGAGGTTATCAGTGGTCTTGTATGTCTTTCTTCCATTTTCTAATTATTGCTTCCTCAGTTTATTTGTTCACACCAAGCTGCTTGCCCTATTGCGGATTCAGTCTTCCCAGCCTGGTGCAGGTCTACAATTTTTTGTTTCTGGTGTCCTTCGACAGCTTCGTTTTGGTCTTCACCATAGTGGAGTTTGGAGTGTGACTGTTTGAGGTTGTGGACAGGTTGTCTTTTATACTGATAACAAGTTCAAACAGGTGCCATTGATACAGGTAATGAGTGCAGTGACAGAGGAGCCTCGTTAAAGAAGAAGGTACATGGTCTGTGAGAGCCAAAAATCTTGCTTGTTTGTAGGTGAATACAAATACTTATTTTCCACCATAAATTTGCAAATAAATTCTTTCCAAATCAGCCAATGTGATTGTCTGGATTTTTTTTTCTCATTTTGTCTCTCATAGTTGAGGTCTACCTATGATGCAATTACAGGCCTCTTTCATCTTTTCTTAAAGTGGGAGAACTTGCACAATTGGTGGCTGACTAAATACTTTTTTTTGCCCACACTGTATATTATATAATATATATAATATATATATATATACTATATATATAAAAAGTAATATATATATATATATAACTATATATGTGTTTTATTTCAGGTACTTTCAGGGGCGGATTGACAACTCATGGGGCCCCCGGCAATAGGGGATCATGTGGGCCCCTGTGTCCTTGCCCAAACTCAAGAAAAAGCCAAATGAAAAAAGGTACCAGTGGTCATCTTAATTGGGGCCCCCTATGACCCCGGGCACTGGCAGTGAGTTTTCCAAATGGTCAGTCCGCCCCTGGGGGTTACTTATGTAGCGCGTCAAATTTATGCATATTAGCGCTT